GGTCAGGGGATATGTTAGGAAAACAAACCTTTATCTATCCAATAACTTATTTACGATTTTTAATGTTTTATCTTAGTGATCCAATTATGTATATTGTTTGTGTGATGAGTTTTAATTGATTGATTTGCTGAATTAAAAGCTAAAATCTGAAACTGACTTTCTAAAACTTCTACTATTACTACTCAAAAACTGACTGACTGATTGATTAATTGATTGATTGATTGTCTGATTGATTGACTGGCTGAATGACTGACTGTTTGTCTTATCGAACTTTTTGTCTGGTCTGTGTGGGCAGTCGCACCCGTTTTTATAGGCAGGTGGCGAGATACTCCCGCGTGAGTTCTCACCACTTTATTAGTAGAAGGAGAAAGATGCTTCTCACGACATGCGAGTAATAATCAATAGTTAGATTTTGACACCTTATTATCAATCCATTGTTCATCAACCACCCAGGGCATTTACTGCATTCCTGGTGGTAACAGAAGGTGCGCTCGATCGAACTGAAGAGAATTACGTCGGACGTAACACTAGCCACTACTTTTTCCCATCTTTCTGGCAGCATTTGAATTCCACGTCGGAAAAACGACACGTCTTTTGAAGCTATCCAAGAGTCGACCCATTTTTTGGCATCTTCATAAGAATGGAATTGCTGCTCAGCCAAGCCATGTGCCATGAATCGGAACAAGTGATAATCGGAAGGAGCAATGTCTGGTGAATACGGCGGGTGGGGTAGAACTTTCCATTTAAGCGTTTCCAAGTAGGTTTTCACTGGTTGTGCAACATTTGGCCAAGCGTTGTCATGTTGCAAAATCACTTTGTCGTGTCTCTGCTCGTATAGCGGCCGTTTTTTCTTCAATGCTCGGCTCAAACGCATTAATTGTAGTCGATAGCGATCTCCCGTGATGGTTTCGTTCGGTTTGAGCAGCTCATAATAAACTACACCCAGCTGATCCCACCAAATGCAGAGCAGAAGCTTCGAACCATGGATATTTGGCTTTGCCGACGATGTTGATGCATGGCCGGGCTTACCTCACGATCTTCTACGCTTAGGGTTATCGTAGTGTATCCACTTTTCATCGCCACGACACGATGCAAAAAACCTTTCCTTTTCTGCCGTTGAAGCAGTTGTTCACACGTGAAAAGACACCGTTCGACGTCTCTCGGCTTTAACTCGTACGGCATCCAATGTCCTTGCTTTTGAATCATTCCTAATA